ATATTAAATCAATAATTCTTATAATAATACTTATATAAAATAAATAAATGTACACACGCACGCATGTTTGAGTTAAGAGTTTGAATTATAATAAATCATAATAATTTAATCAATTCAAATCGCAACGGCCAATTTGCATTGACTGTCGTACTGAAGGCATTCGTAAGATGACTTTCACGCGAATAAAAACTCTAACATTGCTCGTGTGTACGCTACTGGCACTGACTTTTCCCGGATATGTGAATTGCGCTAATAAGAAAGGATCACAGCCAGCGGCAGCTGCGGCGGCGGCGGCGGCGCCACCCCTCGAGCCCGAAGCCGTTATTGAGGAGGTCAATGCCAAGCAGTTGGAAAAGCTATTGGCTGACAAGGATTATGTTGCCGTCTTCTGGTGTAAGTACACACACACACACATGCACACCCTTTGTTGTTGTGTAGTAATGTGCGAGAATTTTGTGATCCGGGCAAACGCACGCTGATGGCCGTGCGCGACTCGAAATAGTAACAGAAGCCATATTATATAAATTTTCTCTAGTGAAAATTCTAAAAATTCGCATACAAGTGAAAATATGTGAAAAATTTCGTTGTACGAAATGTCTTGAGATTTTCATTCGGTTTTTTTTTTTTTTCAACTTTTTTTTTTTTTTTTTTTTTTGTTGCTAGTCTCTGTTCAGTTTTTCTATTTTTCCCTCTAGTGGTTTTCCTTTGCGTTCTGTTTATGAGCAGCAAAACGCTTTTGGCTATGAGAAATTGCCGTCTCTGTGCTTTATTTTAGTGCTGTCTGCTTGCGCTCTCTCTCTCTCACTCTCTCTCTCTCTCCCTCTTCCACTCTCTCTCCCTCTCCCTTTCTCGTCTGTGTCTTTGGATTCTGTAGCATTTAAGTAAAAAATTGCCCAGTAAATAAGTTAGCCAATGCCCGAGGCCCTCCCAGAGCTTAAATAATTGCCCATTTAGTTTCTATCTAAAAAGTATTTTGTGTGGGTTAAAAAAATAAATAAATAGAATCAAAATAAGCTAATTACAGGCGCATACTTTCTCCATTTCTAAAGGCAATAAAGAAATTTTTATTGCAGCGTTTTTTAGCTTATAAAATTGTATATGTATGAATATGTATGATGTATATATCTATATCCATATCTATATCATTTAAATTGAGCGCTAAAATTTTGCATAAACAAAACGCTCTAATTTAGCTGCTTATAAATAGCTAAACCATAAACATGTTAAATAAGTTTTCCAAACGTTAATCACCTTCGGATTGTGGATATTGTTACGTTTGAAGGAAATCATTTCTGAATATATAAACGCGCAAATTTACGATATTTATTTAAATATATATGTTCATTATTTTCCAATGTCGCCAGTTAATACCAAAGAAAATAAACTTGAAATTTCATTTCAATTTTTCCAGAAATTAATTTGTTGACACTGAAAAAAAAAAAATTATACTATAAACAAAGAAATATGCACACATATATATCTATCTATAAAAAATGTCAATGGTATATATTTAATGTTCAGACAAAGAAACAATGCGAAATATAAAATTATTTCTGAAGCCTACGCAAATTTCCATTGCAATTGGCCATCAAAATGAAATTGTTTATTTGTTTTTGCTAAATGCCTATTAATGTTATTGCAATGTGTTGTGAAAACAATGTAAACTGATGGATAAATAACATATAGCCCAACAAATGCAAATTGCAATCAAATCATAAAATCGAATTCAATCAAATATTACGTATACGTAATATGTAGTTGAGCATCTGTTTCATGTACTTGACGGCCATAAAAAGCGTACACGCACACACAGCAAATGAAGTTCAAGTATTTCATAGATATATATCGTATATATATAGAACCAATGCAAACTGCTTTTAGCTGCTAAAATTTGGTTATTAAAAACAAAAATTTACTTTTGACTAAGCAAAAGGTTCATAGAAATGTGAATTGTGTACAATGTATTGATATTATATATTGTAGAATATATATAGAGAGAGAAAGGCGTGCAACCACCCATACACACACACACATGCACAGACAGCTCTTTGTGGGTGTGTGTGTGTGCTGTAATTCATTTCCCTAATAGTTGCTGCATAAATTTTTATGAATTAATTTAGCCAAATGCCGTTGGCAGTTGTGCACACATTAATAGCTAACCATATAGGCGACATATATAGCATATATACAATTTATATATATTTATGCATATATGTATATCTGTCATGTACTATATAGCAATGCAATTTCATTTGCTGCTGCTGTCATTTCATTCACTAGCCAGGTCGCCCAGCCTGCCCAGAATGCCATTTGCGGTTCTTGCTCTCTCTGACAATATATATATATATATATGTGTGTGTATGTATGAGGGGCGCTGGGGCGTGGCTAATGGCATTACCGATGATGATGCATCCCTTTTAGCGCTATGAATAATCGCCGCAGCATTTGGCGTCACACGCGACAGTTGCTAGCCGTCAATTCCCGTTGGTATCTTCATAAAGATTTCTACAAAAACACCAACAACAACAACAACAACAACAATAAATTATAGAAATTTCTATATACTTAGACAATTGTTTTTAATTGCTTTGCAGATGCGCGTAGCTGTGTTACCTGTGATAAGGTTTTAGCGGAGCTCGAAAAAATTGACGATGACACCGACTCGTTCGGTGTGGACTTTGTGAAAATTAACGACAAACGACTAGCCAAACAATATGGCATCAAAACCTTCCCAGCGCTCACCTACTTCAGGTAAAACAGCAAAGAGAGAGAGAGCAACATCAACAACTGACTAAACATACCCTGTACTATTTAGAGAGAAGGAGCCCATCATCTACGATGGCGACCTGATGGATGAGGAGGGCGTGCTCGATTTTCTAACATCACTCGAGGCCATGGATCTGCCCGATCGCATCGAGGAGGTCAATGCCAAGATATTGCAAAAGATTATCGAGGATACAGATTTTGTTGCCGTTCTCTTCTGTGAGTACAAGTTCAAGTTGTTTATCATTGCTCTATCTATCTATCTATCTCTCTCTATCTACAAACTATTCTTTGTTCGATTATCTATATATATATCTATTATCTATATCTATATTTTGATTATGTTTACTTCAAAGCAGTTGCAGTTTTTAGCGTTAAAAGAAATTTGAATTGAGTTACAATTTACAAAACAAAAGAAATGAAAGTTAAGCTCTCTTGTGACTAAAAAAAAAAAAAAAAATTCATACAACTTAGGTACAACAAAACTTGAATACAATCTTACCTAGTTATACAAAAATATTATCTATATATATTGAGATATTTAAATAATTAAATATTAACTAAACTGTTCTATTTTGTAACTAACCCAAGTACGGCGGCAAYTTAACTCTATATCTATCTCTCAACTATATATATAAATTTATATATATTTATTTATGTAACGCCTCACACACATATCTCGAAGCATATATAGTATATTTGCAATATATTTGTATGCGTTATATCTATTTAAACGACTACAGGTCCCGATCATGAAACATGCCCACCCCGGGTAATGGGTAAGTTTGTGCATATGTTAATGGGTTGTCCTTTGACTTGTGAATTTCCCCTGTCACTTCAGCCCAATTAAACAAAATGCAAAATGCAAAAACCCAATTAAAGCATTGATTAAACAAAACTTGTACAATTCATCGTAATTTTCCAAATATTTTCCCAAAAACAATATCAACCAAATCAAAAGTAAACTAAAACATATGCACAACAAAAACCTCACCTGTAAATATGTAAATATGTTTAACACCTTTTCATCTCCCCTTCTACCTTCTGTGTATATATGTATATATAAATGTACTTATATCTGCCTCTACCTAATCTGATGGTTATAGCTTTTAATTTCCTTGAGCGAAGCGAGCAAGCTGGTTGGGTTTTTATTAGTTATGGGAATCGAATTCAATGTATAAAAAATATGAGATATATATTATTTTATACGTTAATAAAATACCCAAAAAAAAA